TTCATTAGGCCCTTATTACACACCAGGTGCTGAGCTAAGCCTGTATCCAAGATAAGCTTTATTGTGTCCATTTGCTCAAAGACAATCACTTGCCCCAAACCACATAGCTTACAGGTATCAGCATCTCAACCCCACTACATGTGGTTTCAAAGGCTCTGGTCTTAACCACTAAGTTGTGCAGAGATCACAGTGAGGTAACAGATGTCTCGTCTCTCCCTACATCCTTGCCTTCCCGCCCGGGGATGTACAGTCCGGGATCCACCTTGCCTCAGTCCTCTCCTCTCGCCCCTCTCTAGACAGCAACAAAGAGTGCCAGGCCTTCGTCTGCAACTGTGACCGCGAAGCTGCCATCTGCTTTTCAAAGGCCCCATATAACCCGGAGAACAAGAATCTGGACACCAAGAAGTTCTGTCAGAGCTGAGTGTCGCCTCTGAAAAGCCTCCTCGTTGCCTTTTGTGGACGCTGTGCCCTCATTAAAGCACCTTGTTGAAAGGCTTCATGTTTGCAGGTGGTTTTTCTGTTTACAGAACACAGTCAACCCAGCTCTGTGAGACTGATACTGTCAGTGTGATCAAGTCATCAATTATTATCAGTTATTGATATTATCCACCCCATTTATGGACAAGGAACAAAAAACACAGAGAAGTTAAGTCCCCTGCCAACGATCACACAGATGGTAGAGTCAGGATTTGACCAGGTCTGTCTGATGGCAAGGAGCTCTGGTGGTGCAATGGTTAAAGCATTCAGCTGCTAACCAAAAGGTCGGCAGCTGGCACCCACCAGCTGCTCTGTGGGGGAAAGATGAGGCTTCGTGGGAGAAAGAGCTTTACGGCCTTGAAAACCCTATGGGGAACATGGAAGATTCGATGGTAGTGGGTTTGGTTTGGGGTCTGAACCTTTAGTTGCTAAGACCGTAGGCCAACTTTCCCTCCCACCAATCACTCCTGGAAGGTAACCAGGCAATCTACTTCCATAAAGATTTACTGCCTTGGAAACCCAATGGAGGTCGCTATGAGTTAGAATCCACTCGATGGCAGTGGGTTTGGTTTTAAATAATTATGTCTACACTGGCAATGAAATTTACCAGATTGGGAGGGGCAGGAATCAGAAAAGCAAAGGGGAGAAAGGAGCATGATGACTTTGCCAGGCCGGGCAGCCACTGAGCACTTCAGCCCACAGAGGCTGACGGAACAGCGCCCACTGCTGGGCAGGCGGTGGGCAGCCAAAGACCCTCAGTTTGAGGAGTGTGTCTGGAAACTGTCTTTTGGCCTAATTTCTCCCTTGTTCCATGCATCCATGCCATGAATGTTTGTTTATTCTGGACCAGGCACTGAACAGGATGCTGAGGAATCAATGGATCTGGGGGCTGGCCTCAAGACAATCATGATTTAACTGCTCCCCGCAGTTCAGTCTTCCGTGTAATTTTTACACCTGATCTTCAAACGGGCATCCTTTCAAGGTAGGAACTGTTGTTAGTTGCCAGCGAGTGGGCTCTGACTGGCGGCGCCCCACGTGTGCAGAGTAGAACTGCTCCGGAGGGTTTTCAAGGCTGGGAACTTTCGGAAGCAGACCGCCAGACCTATCTTTCGAGGAACGTCTGGGTAAGTTTGATCCGCCAACCTTAAGCCTTTGGACCACCCAGGCAACCCATAAGAACGAACTAAATAGACTGAACTGAAACTTGAAGCCAGGAGTGCATCCAAGCAGTCATAATATCCTCACAGTGCGTAGCACTTCACACACGTTCATTAAATTGTTCAACGAAGGCACAGCGGGGCTCAGCAGTTTGCTGCGGCAGAAAAAGCATGTGGCCGTATTTACCTTTTGGATGACGTGATGCATGCAGCCCGCCCAACCCGATCTATCCGTGGGTCCCACTCTGGGGCCGGAGGGATTTCGGAGTAAAAAATGGGATTGTTAATTTGCACACACGTGGCTCTCGGTCTTTATTTTCTATTGGTGAATAGCGGCCCAGCCTCGGGCCGACGCCCGCGCTTCAGTTCCTGATCAGGCACTGCCTGTTTCCGCGCAGGCGCAGTGATTGGTGTGACGGTGGCGCCTGCGTGGTGGGGAGGCGGCGGCGGCTTTGTGCGCAGCTTCCTGTGGCTCCAGCTGCTGCTTGTTCTGAGCCAGAAACACCCGAGCGGGACACAGTGGGTGGCTCAAGTGTGAAAAGAGGGTGACTAGTGTGAGCTGTGCCATTGGGGCCAATTTTCCTGCTGTGCGCCCCTCCCCCCCGACATCCGGTCACTTACCCCCTACACCTTCCCCTCCGCCCACAGGTCCCCTTGCCAGTTTTGGTTGCTAACTCCTGCCATTGTTTTTATTCTGAGACAGACTGGGCGCCGAGGAGGTGGAGTGTAGGTGCTCAGAAGGGGACTGACTAGAAGGAGGCACCGCAAATCCACACTTAAGTTCCCTTCTCCCATCTCGGAGGGAAAAACATGAGGGCATTTGCAGGTCTGCCCTCCGCGTTTGCATTGTTGCCTTAGTTCAGAATAACCACCCCCCCACCCCCGGTCTGGTGCAATGCATACTCATCTTTCAGGACCCAGCTTGGCTCACTTCTGGAAGTTTCTTGAGCCCTGCCCTTTTTTCTTCCCAAGGTCCAGTTGCTCATTTCCACCACCTGGTTTCTACAGCATTGAAGACAGCTCAGAACTGGACAGACTGGGTTTGCTGACTGTTCTGATCGCCCTAGGTGACCTTGGGCACATCACATGAGGCCTCAAAGCTTCAGGAGCCTCATCTTTCAAAAGAAATCGTAGCTCGTGTCACTGAGTTGTGGGATTAAAAAGCAAATGTGTCTAAGATGCTTCTGGGTGCTCTGTAAATCTTCACCCAAATCACAATTTAAAAAAAAAAAAAATTGTTAAAAGAGATTAAAAACATTTGGAGGGGAAAAAAAAAATAAAAGATGGTTGGGACCAGGTTTGCTGGTCCAATAGAGCCTGGTGGAACCACTGAGACTATAGCCCCTAGCTGCCCTTCAGGTCTGGAATTGAACCCACACCTGTGGTTTCTAGCCAAACAGTACAGGCATGTGAGTTAAACATTTACCTCAAGTAGACA